ATTTTGTTTTTAATCACAGTTCACATTCTATATTATATTACTGTCAGGTGGACAATGTCATGATTAGCCATTTATATATACCTTCTGAAGTGATCACCCTGATAAGTCCAGTATTCATCTAACACCATACATAGTTATTAGAGTACTATCAACTATATTCCCTATGCTCTACTTCACATCCCTGTGACTATTTTTATGACTGGCAACTTGTACTCCTTAATAAAGGAGACATTTTTAAAGAAAACCTACCTTATAAAGAATGAATTGCCAATAGCTCTTTGTTATTGAACTTAAAGTATTACTGGTTGCTAACTAAATTGAATGGCCATAGTTATTGGCAAATTGTTGGTTTACAACAATAAAACATATAAGACCATACTCTTAGGAGTTACTCTTGAGAAAAGTTTGATCACAAGAAGTGGAAATAAGAAGAATTTAGCATACTGTGACTTAATTAAACACAACAGATATGTTTTAAAAGCTTGAAAAGGGTGGGACACAAAAGAAAAGCCGCTGAGCATGAATCCATGTTGCAAACAAGATCTAACTTGAAGATATTAGCAGATCATCTGAATCCTTGAGCATGGAGTTTCAGAGACAGAATTTAAATCCAAAAAAGTCTAGTGTAATTTACTGCTCAATCTAACTTGAAAAAGAACAAAATTTTGGAAGCCATCATGAAGAAAATTAACACATGTTAACGAAGCCCTACTTTGAAGTATCTGCCTTTCATCTCAAATTTCTAGAAATTAGTCCCCCGCAAAAAAAAATTAAAGCCAGAAAAACAAGGAAGCATACTGTTGATGGATAAGAAACTATAAGGAACCTCTGGACAAGAGAAAGCAGGGAAATGGGATTAAACAAAAACAGTACAGCTCTAAATGAATACATAGTATGTGTTATTAGATGAAACAGGGAGGCTCTCAGTTGACCCAAGGCTAAAGGGGTGGACTGTAGGACAGAGTAGAGTCAGAAGGAGGCCAAGCCACAGGGTCATTAGCCAACACCAGAAGGAATAGACTTTCCACCCTTACCTCCTCACCATAGACTCAGAATCCAACAACAGCTGTAGCCACTTCCAAGTAGAAGCAATGAGTGAGAACTTGTCAGGAGAAAATCAGTCATGCTAGGAGCTGTGACATGGTAGAGATATGGTGAGCTCCAATGTGGAAAAAGGCGTTTCAATCATAATAACCAATCACTAGAGATTGCAGAAATTAAAAACTGACTGTTGGAAGAGAAAAGTTCAGTAGCTGCAGAAATAGCTGAAGGGTAAAGTAGTGAGGAAACCAATTTTCCCTTAATGCAGCACAAAAAGACAAGCAGATGGAAAGTATTACAGAAAGATTGAGAGGTATGAAGGGAGGAGCCAGAAGTGGAAACATTCATCTAAATAAATTAGAAAATTCTTCCAGAACTAAAGACAGGAACACCTGTACTAAAAGGGTATGCTGTATTTTGACCAGAATAAATTCTTAAACACAAACACACCTAATTTCATTGTTCTAAAATTTAAAAATAACATGGATTAGGAGAAACTCTTAAAAGCTTCAGAAGGAAAAGCAGAGGTTACTTATCAAGAAATAAGCATCAGCTTGGCCTCAAGCATCTCATCAGCAACACTGGAAAACAAGAAAAATCTGCAAAATCCTAAGAAGCTATTTTGAGTCTAGAACTTTATACTCAGTCAATACCACTGGGAAAAAAAATACAGGCTGATTTTCCACCAGGCAAGAATGGGACAATTTTATTTTTGAAATTTCTCTGAAAAAAATATTAGAGAACACATTCCAGCAAAATGAAAAACCACTCCAAGAGGAAGTAATAAGATACAAAGATCAGTGGAACACAAAAAATAGTAAATCTTTAAAAAAATCAAGTAATGCCCTGGTCAGAGAATTCAGTTGGTTAGTACATCCTCCTAATACGCCAAGGTTGTGGGTTCGATCCCTGGTCAGGGCACATATAAGAATCAACCAATGAATGCAGAAGTAAGTGTAACAACAAATAGATGTCGATGTCTGTCTGTCTCTCTCTCTCTCTCTCTCTCTCTCTCTTAATCTCTTTCTCTCAAATCAATAAATAAAAATCTGAAAAAAATAAGTAAATCCTAAAATAAAATCTCAGATGAAAACAATTTGAGGAATGAGAGAAAGAAGTAAAGAGAAGTAAAAGTATCTTGTCTTATGAAGGGTTATCTCTAGATACTTACAGAAATATATTTAAATATGTATGGTAAATATCTTATCATTATACATTTACAGAAACATAATTTATAATATTCAAAGAATTAAGAAAAAATAAAACAAATAACACTACCAATGGAAGAAACAGAAAAAAAAAAGGAAAACTAGACAAAGGATATAAATAGGTAGTTCACTGAAGAATAAACACAATGTTCACAAGATACTCAATAGCAATCAGCAAAATGCAAACTAAAAAGCAATTACGTACCATGTAGTTTTTAGAGAGACAAAGAATACATTTGCTAATATCAAGATATACTTTTCTGGGGTGGCTATAAATCAGTACAACCATTTTTTAAAGTGTAAACCATATGAACCAAAAAAATATGATTCCTACTATGTTCTCTAGAAAAATCTTTGCATCTGTCCATATGCTTATTGAAACATTTTTGTAGCAATGAAAAATGGGAAGCTAAATGTCCATCAATATGGAAGATTTAATGTAAGATTTATTCTGCCACAAATACCAGGCAATGATTAAAAAAATATGATAGATCTATGACTACCAACCTGAAATGGTCACAAACAAGAAAAAGACATGCTTTATATACAATATATAGGGAGTTATTTTTACAACAAAATGTATCAACATGATTTGTACAATTATAAATAAGTAAAAAAACACTTGAAATAACAGAAAAATAAAACATAAGAACATAAAAGTGGTAAAAAAAAATAAGTCTGTCAATTCTCCTTTTATAATGTTGCTTTTTGAAAAGCATTGGTGACAGTGAAATTAATTGTGAATGTTATCATGAATATAAACAGATCCTACTCAATCAAGCAAGCACATGCTCTCTCTGACGTGGATTCAGTCTCACTCTCATACACAGAATGCATTGACTAATTGTAGGAATCATATAAAAATTATTGAAAATTGACAAATCAATCAGCAAAAATAAGGACCAGGTCACTGCTATGGTTCCCCTTTCACAATCACTATAGCCTGTCAACATCCCATACAGTGAGTACATTATCAGAATGCTGTCGAGACAATGAGGCTGAAAATTAAAATCAAAGAAATAGAATGGTTTCAGGCAAGGACAAAACAGACATCTACTAAGTGCAGTTTGTGAAATCAGAGCAGGAGTTAGATGCTTTCTCTTTTTTCCTCTCAGTGGTTGCTGAACCAATGTGGTCACAACAGCCGTGGGGATTTGGGAGCTGGCCAAGAGGCCAGGTGACTCAACATTGCATTTCTTGTCCCTCTAGGCAATTTCTCTCAGCAGCACAAATTTATGCCAGAACAGAGAACAGTTACCTTCTTATCAGGAAAAGATATATATTAAAAGTGTTTATTATTTTCACCCGTGGCTAGCAAAGAAAGCTGAGGGAAGTTGGCAAGGGAACCAAGCCCGATTCTCCCATTCTAAAGCCAAACATCTCTAGTTATTACAGAAAAATCTGTGGGAAGGGTAACTGCTATTTCTAAGCTCCTTCAGGGTCAGAAGTGAACACTTATCTTTCCTTTCATTACATTCTCATTAAAAATAAGCAGCAGTTATATTTTCCTTAAATGAAAACTGACCCCAAACAATAGGGTCCTCTGAAAACAAAGAACCGGATGTTTATGGTCAATATGAAGATACCTCAGGGCGGTGGAGAACCAATGCTACCTAGCTTCCTGCTGAGTCGCCTCTAGACCAGAAGATCAAATATCATTGTGAACTGTTTAACTGGTTGACTAACTGATTAAAATTTCAACAGAGAAATAATATTGTAGAGGTATGTCCCAGAGGCCCTTAGTGGTAAAATCCTAACAGGCACCCTTGGATTCTACTTCCCTATAAACACACTAGTCCTCACAGAGAGCTGTGATTTCATCACATGGTGCCATTTTACATTCTGAAGGTGTAACTGCTGAGGAGAGGAGTGGGGACAAGGGTGAAAGAAGAGATTTTGAACTTAGACCTGGGATAAAGCGCTTGTAAGGGAAAATCTGAGGCGCCCCATCCAGAGACATAGACATCTGGCATCTGGATTGAACTGCATTTTCTTATGCTTCCAGGACACTTTATCACCTTGAAATACTTCCCTCTACATGGCCTGAGGGCCAACCAAGTATATAAGGTAGGTCCTCAGGTTACCTCCTGCGGTGTGATGTCACGCGATTTTCGCCATAAGTCAGAATCCACGAACATAAGCACCCAGTCACTCACTTGGAGCACATACACAGCAGTAATGATGTGAAACAGTAAAAAAAAAAAATTAAAAGAAAGATAACAATTCCTGACCTTTACTTGTGGTAAATAAATAATAAAAAACATAAAGCACATATGTACATACGTCGAAATGACGGAACTTTTTTTTAAAATAAATACTGTAAATGGGAGATGGCGACGTAACCGCGAAGCAATGTACGTCGAGTCTGACATAACCCGAGGACTGCTGTATGTGGCCAATGGGGTACTGCACTCTTAGCAGATACTTTTTTGATATATGGATGGATGGATGGATGGATGAATGGATGGACGAATGAACAAAGAAACAAAGGAATACAGTGTGTGCTTTTTTTTCTCTGTGCACTTTAAAGTCATTCATTCAAAATTAATATTCTACTTGCAAAAAATGTTCAGCAAACTTGCTCCCAAATGATTTCTCCACACTGCACACAAATGTTGCCCAATTCATTGGAGACATAACAGCATACTGTATAAAATCTGGGTAGTGGTAATCTTCCCAGACTCTCTACCACACCAAGGCAATTAGAATAATTAATAGCAACTAGAACTCATTGACTTAAAAGTGAATTACCACAATTGGGGATCTGCAGGTTCGCCAAGGGAATATTCTTGCTGCTTTCATTTAGGCAGTACAAATCCTGAGTTTCTGGACTGGATTTACTCTCCTGAAGAGTCTTGATCCACATAATATCACAGGAGCATGCGAACGGATTGCCCACCAAGATCCTACATGGAACAAAAATGAAACCCAGTCAGGCTTCTCTTTTTTGATTTTAACTACATTCATGTTCCTGAAGCACTACAAAATTATGAATTCTTTCTAACCAGCCATCTTTGAAAGTCATACCTACCCTTAAAACATATTAGTAACTACTTATTATTCATTAATTTATCTAATGCTTACTGAGCTTCTGCTGTGTGCAAACACCACTGTAAAGGCTAAAAGATGCAAAGTGATATAAGACCTTTCAGAATAATAGGGAAACAAGATAAGTACAGAAATAGCTGTAATGTAAGAAAAAAAGAGTGTGTCTCATAAAATGGGGGTAAATAAGGTGCTGTAACCATTTTATTACTGTTATCATACAGTTATTAAGAAGATCTTAAGTGAAGATGCCAACAGTAAGTTTTCAGAAATACTACCATACTTATTTCTGGTCAGGCTAGAGATCAAAGTGTTATTTAATAAGCTCAAACTTCAGTGGGGGGCAGAAAAGTGTCATCTTCATTTAAAATGAGACTGTAAATCCAATGCTAGGACTGAAGTGTGAGAGCTAATCGGGTGGTGCTCACAGCTTTCTGCAACCACAGTTCATTTGATTGATGCAAGAAAGGTGGAGTGAATGTAAGAGAGAGAATCTGCAAGGGAGCTCTTGGGCCTCTGGCATGCATATGCGCACGTGCTCACATGGCTACACACACACACACACACACACACACCAAGCTCAGGAGTTCAGAAAGCAAGGGCAGTGAGCTCCAGATTGAGCCTCTAAGCCCACTGTGAGATCTGCTGAGAGAAAGCCACCATTCAGCTATGCTGCCTGGACTCCTGTGGCCTGCCGACTGGTGAAGGAGGAAATAGTCAAGAGGAAAATAAAAACCACAAGAAAAAAATCTTTAAATGCTTATTTATAATACTCAGTGGCCTATTTAAGATGAATTCCATTTATGGTAATGAGCCTTTAAATGAGGCCATTTAAAATCGTTACATAGGCTCTGCCTGGAATTAACCACAATACTTAAGATTTCCGTGAGGACCGGACCTGGGCTTTGCAGCATCATTTACTCCTGTGGTTTTCTGGTCGGGTTCTAAGAATCTCAGGGATCCCTGGAGACTTTTCTGGGAATTTCTTTGGGGAAATGTGATCATGGACGACTCTTTAATTTGTGTCTGCTTGATGGCCTCCAAGTATCCCTCCAACACCAAAATAAGATTTGGCGCGACTAGATATGGAATACAATGCAGAGGAGATCCACAATGTTTAAGCCCCACTAATTCAAGCTATTTCCTGGCAGTCTGAGTACATGAAAAACTAAAGAATCATTCTAAAAAGAAAGTCTGGTTGAATCATCAGAGGGGATGAAGAAGCCAGGGGTTCTTCAGTTATACATATAAAGATATTCCTATGACCACATAATGCTGGTGGACAACTGGCTTCTTCCTCTAGCTCATTGTGCAAACTCTTTTTGAAGTGATTATTATTACATGTGCATGTTAGACTTCTACCTCTCCCACCACATAGCAGAATCCTGGACCACAGAGATCTTCTATCGCCATGGCCTATTACCATGTTACTTTGATTTGTAACAGGCACACAATTAACATTTGTTGAATGAATTCATTAAATATGTTGCAGGGAGAATATTGAGACATGTGAATTTGGAATCAGAACTCTAATTTTTAACCAAGCAAGAAAATGTTCTGCAGTGATGCTTAAAATTTTTACAGAGTATCTTATTCTATTTTGTGTATCTTCCTTAAGTTTTTAATTTGTCTACTCCTGTGTTAGAAACCTAGTACTTCAACTACTTGAATTCAGTTTATTTAAAATCATTGCCAATCACTAAGACTTTCATCATGTAACCTTCATTGCTACCAATTAGCTTGCTGTTGCTCCACTAGTGACATCTTCTAATCTGCCCAATTTCCTTGTGAATGGGGTAGACCCTACAACTCAGGCCACATACAGTTTAAGCAAAAGCTTTGCCTGGTATTCAAAGGCCTTGTCCATTTTGGCCCACCTCTGCTACACAGAACCTCTGTTGCAGGGTTCTTTAGGCACCTTTAACCATAAGAATGTCAACAATTCACATCTGCTTCATGGTGATAACACAAAAATTGAACACACTTGGAAATTCTGGCTATTAGTCATCAACACATTTAAATATTTTCCCTCCATTACAAAATAAATCATTTATGTAAAAACATTTAAACTTATCATAAACAACATATTACTATTGTGGTTTCTAATTTTTATTACTCAATCCTGTCTTCTTAAGGGGGAAAAAAACAAGTAACTAAAACTTGAGAAATCATTTTTCAAGAATTTTGACATAAAAATAGATCTGCAGCATCACTCATTTAAAAAAATACTTAATTGCCCTTTTCCTTGAAAAAAAAACAAAACACAAAATCATTACTTACAGCTCAGTCAAGTCAAGGTGACGGAAATGTTTCCTAGACAAACTCGTCAGTTTATTTCGAGTAAAATTGCTGAAAGGAATAAAAAAAGATTAAATGTGAATCTAAAATGACATATTTCAGAAATAAAGTATTCAAATCAAGATTTTTTTCACAATATAATTTTATTTGATCATGGTCCATGCCTTACTTAAACCCAATCATTTCTTTCTTTTACCAGAAGTGATAGTTTAGTTTTTCCTGCTTCTCCTACCTATCATTCTTACCAATGGTGGGTAGGAGAGCAGGGGGTGGAACATAATTTTCCTATTGTCTATGTTAAGTCTCTTTTTTACCCAAAAGCTTATTTTTCATATGCTGATTCAGAGCCAAGTTATATACCTCCTAGAGATTTCTGACCTTTTGAACAACTAATAGAAAGATTAAATTAAATTTAATTTAAAACCATAAAATCACCAGAGAGAAAAGATGCTTTAAAATGAGTGTCATGAATATTTTGAAGTCATGTGACATACAGAACTCTGGATATGAACTGGATTTAACACATCCTCATAGGAGAGAAAACAGTTATTGATTAATAAACTCTGCTGAGATCATTTCTATAGGATTTCTAATAACTAGATAATGCCATGAAGAGAACAACAGGAGATTATGTGGAGTATGTCAGAATTTTTCTTGAACTATTCTAACTACATGTCATTTTAAGATTTGGACCAATCAAAGAAAAGATGTCATATTTGTTATGGGAAAAATAATACTGAATTTACCTACATGTTCCAAACATGTAGTCTTTTCAATGGGCAAGAGTTTCAGTTTCCAGTGATCAATGCTATGAGACCTTGATTTGGAAAATTCTAAGCCATAATCCTGGCAGCTGACTCCCTCTGTGAATTTGTTTACTAGTTGAATTTACTTAAAAAGTGTCCAGTGGTTGGTCCTCTAGACATGTGTTTAGTAAATAATATGAATATAAAATAAACACCAACTTTTACAAAAACAGCCAACACCTCAACGAACTGCAATGAGCCCTTCAGTATCCGTTTCCTGCTCAGGAGAGTGAGTGTTGGGCTGAGAGTCAGATAAGAATGGGAGATCTGAGGGTGAAAGTAATCCTGGACCCTGACCTGAGGCTGGTCAAACAGCGGAACAAAGTCATAAGTTAAAAGTATCTGGGTGTGTCTGACCAGTCTCCTTCAGAAAGAGGTTACAACCCAGGAGCTAATGCATGGTCTCAAACTAGGCAGCTGATGAATATAGAAAGGGCCACTTTTGTGCCACATGTATGTATGTGTCCACTCCCAGCCTTATTCTATACTGGCATTTCCACTCACCCAAACCCCTACCTACACAAGGGTGCCCACTTCCTTCTATGCATCCATCTTCTCTTTTGGAACATGGAATGCTCCCCGACATGAAGAAAATCTCCGCCAGGAAGTTAAAAAATGTGCCTACATAAATCTTTTCTTTTGGAATGTGGATTAAGAATGGCTTTCATTGGAGTATTATACATTGAAAAGTCAATCTGCCTATCTTCCCCACAGTCTTGGAGACACAAATATTTTCATCTTCATCAGAAATCCCAAGCCTTCTGGGGGGTTGGGGGGGGGGGGAGTACAGGGGAACCTGCTCTTCCTTCCAAGAAGAACAGGAGAGGAGCAAAGAAAAATGATACTTATTGTCAAGGTTCCCGGGTCAGCCAGCGAGCCGGCACCGGGCGCAGCTGCCCCTATTGGGCTGCCAGCAGCACAGCCCAGAGCTGGGTTACGCGCCAAAGAACAAGATGAGTTTTATGAACCATACTTATTATTGGGGCCAAAAGCCAAAAAGAAGGAGGAGGAGAGGGGAAAAATCCACAATCCTCTTACTGTTTGATTATAGGACTTTGCAAAGGAGCTAATTAGCACCTCTGCAAAGCCCCTGGAAAACACAAAAGCTGGCTTTTCTCACAGTCTCTGGATTCTCAGGGCCAGGCAGGAATGAAGGCACCAAGAAATAAACTCAGTGACCAGTTACAGGGCCTCTGGAGAGTCCCCAGGCCTGCAAATATGAGCAGGGTGGAGGGGAGTGCTGAAAGTGAGAGGCAGGAGCCAATCTGAATTTCCTTAAACCCCAAGTGCAATGCTCTTCTGCAGGATTTTATACCGTAGGCGAAACTAGCAGAGATAATCAGCATATCCCAGGGACATCAAGAAACAGCTTCTGAAACACATTTCCTTCCCAGCTCACTGTCACCCGTGATGCTGATATTCAAGTTAAGGGTGAAATTTACTTGTGGGAAATCAGGGAAGAGGAAGCCAGTTGCCCCAAGTTCTTGATCTTAAACCGAGGTTGGGACTAAGGTCTGGAAAGGCAAGCACTTGACTTGATTCTCTCCTCCCTCCCCACCATCCTTAAAAGCCAACCACACAATTTAATTCCTTAGTTGGGTGATTAGAGCCTCTTTCATGACATAAATCAATGAAGCTTATGGACATTTCATGATTCCTTCATAACAGTTTGAACACTAGCCTTACTGTGTAACTATGCCTACAAATATCAATCTGCCCAGTGACTGGGCTTCCAAATTATTGGCTTTTAATGAAACTGTATAGGATAGGCCTACTTCATTGGTTTCCTATTTTCAAATGGCACATCTTTGGAAGATAGGGAAAATGCTGGGCTTTATACATAGAATGCCATTAAAAATATTCTACCAGATAGTAGCAAAAATACACAAGGTAGCTTTGGTTTCCTAGAAATAGCTTGCAACAAGGAAAGTAGGGAAAATATAAGAGGCACAATAAAGAAATAAACTAGTCTATTACTAACACTGCAATTAATCATAGCCCACTAAACAAAAATCACAACAGTAGGGGAAATGATTTGGTAAGACAACCAGTAAAATGTGGTTGTTGAGCAATTAGGGTCTAAAGTCAGGTGTAATGAAAATACCGGAATTAACTACTGAGGTCATTAATACATGTAAGTGACTGCATTAGAGCATTTTGCCTTTTTTCTTCTCTCCAGCTTCTCTCTTGTTTATGCTGTCAAGGCCTACGCAGCCATCAGACTTGTTCAGGCAAACTGACTGCAGAGATGGTGCCAAACAGCATTTAGTGAAATGTGTTAATAAAGTTCCTTGGAGTTTTGTCACATTTTTGCCAAATGCTTTTTATCTTAATTCCATAGGCTTTATTTTTAAATTGTCTTCATCATTAACTCCACCTATAAAATATGAAGTCAACCTAGTGGCTTTATGAAATTAAGGTTTTTCATAATATCAAAAATCTCCATAGAGAGTCCAGGCAATCTGCTCTAAGAGAATGATTTCTTTTATAACCGGCCTGAAAATCAGTTGGGGAACTAGTCTCCCCAAGAACAGAAAGAGGACAGATGTTACCAGAACGCTGATCCTTGAATCTTAGGGATGACACAGATTTTATTTCCTGTACTCTTATTAGAAGACCATGGCCAGGAGCAAGTCCTGGAACCATAATTCTGTCTCCAACCTCTATACCTGAGAAAGTCCAACATCTTCCTCAGTCTGATTTTCTGTCCATGAAATGGGAATAAAAATGATTTTCCCTACCACTTGTTAGAAAAACCAAGTGAGATAATGCAGGTGACTATGAGACACATAAGGTATTGTTACAAATAATTTGCAAAGCACCAAAGGCCCAATGAATGCAGGCAACATTCCTCCAACAGAAGGTTACACTGAAAATCAGGACATGGGGACACCAGTCTGAGCTTAGGAGTGGGTGATTCTCTGTTTAATGATGAAACCTTTTTGAAAGGCCACACCTTGTTGACTAAGTGCTATCATCTAACAGGATTTAGCAGCCAGCAGCCTAAGAGCTCCCACTGTCCCTATTTATTTATAACTGACTTCAGCTGAAAAACCTTCAACATGACTTCAGGGGAAGCATTTGCTATTGTTAATAATTGTCTGAACCTTTGGCATGTCCCATGGTTGACTTTTCTCCACTTCTGTCAATCATGACAGATAGCTTTTTTTAAATGAAACTTCAAAAGAGGACCTATTGTGGGGGGCAAGGCATTAGTAACTGTGAGCTCCCTGAAAAGGCCATGGCCAAGTCAGTGTCTTTCCATTCCACTGGTTTAATGTCTTCCAGGCAATGTCATGATTCCAAGGAAAAGAATCAAGGACATAGTTTTCACATCAGATTCTTGCCTTGGCCTATTGCTCCGTCCAAGATGGAAATGGCCAAGAAATTCATGAAAGGGAATAAACAGGCTGTTCTAATACCCCTCTAAAGCTATTCAGAAGTCAAAGATAATGATTCTAAGCTATTGTCACAGTTATACTAATTTTTAAAAAGTGAGGTTAGAGTTGGAAAAGAAGGAACATAAGCAGAGAGGACAAATTTTTTAGTAAATCGGGCCCGGGGAAGCAAAAGACAACTGTTACTTACATGTGCTGTAAGTTGCTGTTTTTCAGAAATGCTTTATGAGCCACAAATTTTAATCCTGAATCCACAATTGTCCTATGAAAACATAATTGCACGCATGTTAGAACTAATCGATGAAAGCCACCTAATTCTAATAGAACATAAGAAGAAGTTCTGAGGTTAAGTACACAAGCCCTGAGTACTCACAGATTCTTCAGTCCCACGTAAGCTTCAACATCATCCTCGTTGATGATTTCTAACCTTTTCTGATTTGCAATGTAACTGCAAAAAAGCAGAGTGAAAACCATTGACTCAGAATGTAGACAGAACATAAAAGAATGGGTAACATCCATACAATCTTACCACAGTGCCCAACGTGATCTTTCCCCACCCAACCTAACCCCACCATGTAAAAAAAAAAAAAAAAAAAATTAGCTAGGGGAGCAAAAGTGAGTGTGATTGAGAAGAAACCAGGATTGAGTAGGTGTCAAGGTCAATGACAGGTTCACCAGGCTTCATTTTTCTTAATTTTTATCACTCTTTCAACTAACAATTTTAGTTTCCCTCCCCTTTCACCCTGTGCATAGAGGTGAAAATAACTTGGAAATGCGTTCATTTCCAAGTCTCTCAAAGGCAGTTCACCCTTATGGCAACAGCCACAGGGATGCTGGCATCATCACAAGCAAGACAAATGACACCTTTCCTCACATTCCAAGAGTAGCAATCACTCCCTCCTTTTAGCTCCTAAAACATTGAAGCAGATTCCCTTCCCCTTTTCTCTCTCTCCCTCCCTTCCTCCCCACTTTCTCTTGTCCTGGCCCAGCATCCCTCTCTCTGCCTTTGTCAGTAACAATAACAATTTTTCCTTTTAGGAAACACATTTCACAAACCCCACATAGCCCTAGTGCACTCTCTGTAAGAACTTTCCTCTACCTCCCAAAGCCTCAAATATAGGAATAAACTGGTGACTCTGGCTGAACAGAGAATTTCATCCCTTTGATCATGATGACGGGCTTAGACTTGGTCATGTGACCTCAACTAGACCAATGAGAATCCTCCCTAAAATTAAATAGATGAATGCTGGTCCAGACAGAGTCAGTCTCTCTCTCTCTCTCTCTCTCTCTCTCTCTCTCTCTCTCTCTCTCTCTCTTTCTCTTGGGTGATAGCTGAAAGATTATACAGGATGGGGCTTCCATTTTTCTGCCGTGAGGGGACTATCCAGGAATAAATTCACACACAGAAGAGAAATAGGAGTACAAAAAAAAGATAAAACACTAAAAATGCCACTTGAGCCGTTGAATCCAGCTGTCTCTGAGGTCAGATGCCACTAAGTGAAGTTTGTTCTGAATTTCTGTCACCTATGACCAAGAATATAGACCCAGTAATACAAACACAAAGCTGTTAAAATTGCTTTCATGGAATTTCCTTGTGATAGTCAAGAACCTGTCTGTCCATTTTTCTTAGATCAAAACCTCTTTAAAGACAGTGGCTCCTGTTTTACAGTTCTTAATATAAACCATCGCATCTACCAAAGTACCCTGCACAAGGTAGCTATTCAACAGATAAAGGATGGATGGATAGATGGATGGATAGCCTAATGGATGTATGGACAACCCTTAGAGCTCTAACGTCACTATAGGAAGTTGTGCTATGATGCATTTTTTCTTTCTTTTTCATTAAGATACATAACATATTCCAAATAAGATTCCAATTTGCTGAAAACAAATATATAATCCTGCTGTTACCAACATGAGTTAAAATGGGGAAAATAATTTAAAAATAACAAATTGGAGAGAAGATGCAGCATCTATAGGTCCCTTCCACCTAATCCAAAAATGAAACAAAAAATATTTATGGTAAGAGTTGGTGCACCCATTTCTAGAAAACAAAATTTTAGAAATAAAATAAGTAAATGCTCTGAGGGAATAAAATTACACCAAAGAGAAATAATTTTAAAAGGACCCACATAAACATTATCCCCATTATATAAAAATGCAACTTCCAAGGTAGAAATCCATCTTCTACTCAAAGATCTTGGTTCCCCCTGATACCCAGGGCCTGGCACCTAATACTAGTAGATGTGCAGAAAGGATTCATTCTCTTATCTCTTTCTACCGTACACAGAAGGAAACATTTTAAGACTCCAACCTAATGCTCAAAGAATAATTTTCAACATCAAGAGTTTTTATTAAATGCTTAAAATTATCACACATTAAATGTATTTTCCAAGATTTTTATTCCACTAACATTTTTAATAGAGATCACAGTGACCTCCTTCTAAATTATCTCCCAATAAGGGATGGATTCCAGGGAGCCCCAAATTTTAATGCTTTTTCCATGCAATCGTGGTAAAAGGGGTAAATAGTGTGGGGTAAGCTTTCATTTGGGCTCACAATCAAGATTTTCAGAGAAACCTACCCACTCCTTATAGCTGCCCTAGCATGGTGGCTGTCAGTGTTCTGAAAACCTCAACTCTCTTTGTCTGGACATCATTGTATCCTCCATGCTTATGACAGGGGCCCAACGCCAACAGGTCCTTAATCAACTGAGGCACAGAGCATTTATCTTTATGTTATTTATGCCCTTCATTTTATTATTATTACACTTTTCACCAGATTTGGGGAGGGGTTGTTATTAATCCTCACCAGTGGATATTTTTTCCATTGACTGTTAGGGAGAGTGGAAGAGAGAGGGGAAGACAGAGAAAGAAACATTGATGTGAGAGAAACACATCCATCGGTTGCCTCCTGCACATGCCCTGACCAGGGCCCAAACCAGGGAGGAGCCTGCAACCAAGGTACATGCCCATGACCAGAATCGAACCTGGGACCCTTTGGTCTGCAAATTGACACTCTATCCAGCTAGGTAGGGCTTTTGTTTTGTATTTTTGTTAAGTCTCACCCAAGGATATGTTTCTGTTGATTTTTAGGGAGAGTGGATGAGAGAGGAACAGAGAAAGAAACATCTATGTGAGAGAAACACATTGATTACACCAGATTTTTAATTCATAAGCTCCCTAGTTATACTTGACAAAATACAGTGAACTAGCATAAATAAAAATGGAAGTCATACAAGAAAGAAAAGCAAGGGCAGAGACAACAACGGACCTAGAAATTAGGTTTTAAAATGTGTATACTTGTTAGAAAAAAGCCACAAGCTTATTTCTAGGTTTTCTAGTCACCAATGCCCAAGAAAAGAAGGAATGGGACATAAATTTGGTCAATGGTAAATTTATAGTGTTCATGAGATGAAAATAAGTCAGACATTAAGCAAAACATAACTGCTCTCGGATCTAAGACTAGACAGGCAATTTTGTGGAAAACCATCAAAAGAACCATATAAAATTATGAAAAAATGGTCACTAGAGAATACTCTTCCACTGTGGAGACAGGAATTTCTTAGGTAAATAATGATTTTTTTTTTCCTGTTCAAAATGGAAAAATCAACAGAACTATATTGAAAGGTCGGCAAGTGTCCTCTCAGATGCCAGGAATTCCCCTTCATAAGTTACCATCTGCAGAGGTGCCCACATGAAAGCTGCTGGTTATATGATCATGAAATCTACCCCTAAGAACTATCCTTCACTACCATTGAGCAATCACAGGACTAGAAAAGAAGCCAGTGAAATTAATAACAGACAATTGACAAAGGGGAAACTCCATGGCCAAGAAGCATATAAAAAAAAACTGCTCACACTATAAGGAATCTGAAATGCAAATTAAATAATGACATTCCTCTCACACTAGAATGACAAAATGTTTAAAGATTGGCAATATAAAACATTTCTAAGGATGTGAAGAATTTCTCTTACATTGTTGGAGGGGAAGAAATTGGTATAACCACTTTGAAGAGCAATTTACCAGTATCCTAGAAAATTATAAATTGGCATACTTCATAGCCCAGCTATTCCATTTCCAAGTATTCACCCAAGAGAAATTCTCATACATACACACAAGGAGACATATACATGAATATTCACTATATTTACGGTCAAAATCAAAACTTGGGAACAACCCAAGTGTCCATCAATACAGAAACTACTCAGCCATAAAAAAAAAAAAAGATGAAACATTGTCGTTTGCGACAACATAGATGGATCTTGAAGGTATTATGCTAATTGGAATAAATCAGACAGAAAAGTACAAGAACCTTATGACTTCATTTATATGTGGAATATAAAACAAAAAAGTAACAAAACAAACAAAGCCAGACTCACAGATACAGACACCAGAATGCTGGTTACCACATAGAGAGAGAGGTAGGGAGAAGGTGAATTAGGTAAAGGGGGTCAGATGCACGGTAACAGAAGGAAATTATATTTTGGGGGTGAGCATACAATAAAATATACAGATATCAAATTATAATGTACTCCTTGAATTTATATAATGGTATTAGCCAATTTTACTTTAATAAATTTAATTTTTTTTAAAAGCCCAGCTGCTGTTGCTCAGTGTTTGAGCATCAACCTATGAACCTGGAGGTCACAGTTTGATTCCCAGTCAGGGCACATGCCCAGGTTGCAGACTCCATCTCCAGTGTGAGGTGTGCCGGAGGCAGCTGAACAATGATTCTCTCTCATCATTGATGTTTCTATCTACCTCTCCTCCTCCCTTCCTCTCTGAAATCTATAAAAATATATTTTAAAATAAATTAAAAATAAATAAATTTAAAAAACTGAAAAAAGTAGGATGTGTTAAATTCATAAGTTGAATTGAACCAGATCTTTATATTTGAGCAGAAAGTAATCATCACGTTAAATGAGGAAAAATGCATAATAATATATGCATATAATATAAAACAACTAATGCAAACTTTAAAAAGGTATTTAATTTATGGGGGTGACATTGGTTAATAAAATTACATAGGTTTCAGCTGTATAATTCTATAATGCATCATCTGTATATTGTACCCAAAGTCAAATTTCCTTCTGTCACCATGTACTTGATCCCCTTTAGCCTCTTCTACCTGCCCCACCCCCCTTCTCTCTGGTAACCACTATACTGTTGTCTGTGTCTATGAGTTTTTGTTTGTTTATTCGTTTATTTGTTTGTCTTGTTTTTTCAAAAAAATATACAGAAAACAACCAATAATGTTCATAGTCAAGTATACATGTGAAGTATAAAAAAATTACAAGTAAGATCACTTTGGGAAAGGAGAATGGGTCTCAGATTAAGAAATAAGCTGTTAAAGTATTTATTTTATTAAACTACTAAACTCTTTTATTAGAGGAGAAAAGACTTGTAGCAACAAAGACCAAAATGTTGAAGTGTCAGTTCTGAATA